ACAACCCATCTGTGTCATATGAAAATAGTTACACTTGTTGCAATGTGGAAAGTAAAGCTCATCCCAAGGCAGAAGTTTGTTGTCTTTTAAGCTGGTAGGACTACCAAAATTATTTGGATTGCACTGGTATAACAGAGAAAATAATTGCATCCTTTCTGGTAAATCGATCAGACAATAACACCAGCTAGATACAAGGCTACACTGACCATTGTTCACTTGCTGAAACCCCCCAGGAACCCCCAAGTGTTTGCTGTAAATGAAACAGTGTTTTGGTATCACACATGAGTCTTTATAAATGACTTCCATTTCCCACCGATTACTTCCTCTTTCATACCATTCATTTTTTGCATTTCCTCTAATTTTTGTTCTCTTAATCTTTATTAATGTAATGGGCTTTAGACAGAAACATTAAGTTCGTACTTATTGAAAATGTCTCTGCTGCCTTGTGAAACACAGCTGTGAGAAACCTTAACTCGATAAGAATTATTGTTTTGCAAACCGAGTATTGTTACATTAGCTGAGCACTGTATTTAAATTGCTTTTTGTTACAATGGGTCTCACTTGGACTATTTGGATAGTTCAGTACAGTAGATGGTAAGGTAGAATTGCACTAATAAAATCAAGCTGCAAGTACATTTCATCTGCCATTTGGTACTTTCAGTGCTTCATAATTAACTTTGGTCAAAAATTACCCCTTAAAGCCCAAGGGATTAATTCTCCCTTAACAATATTTGTGCATTACAGGAAAAACAGTCATCCCTTGGTTTCCTGGCCTTGGATGAGCGGTTTACTGCATTTTTAACCTACAATAATTGTGGATGAATTCCAGGTGTGTGCTTGCCCCTCATGGAGTGAATTTCATGCTGTCTGATTTCTTTTTATTTAACTCTGGCAACAGAAATGCCCTAAACCAGGTTTGTATGCTTCACGTGCCCCTGCCCATCACGACCTAGCCGTCGGGAAGGTACCTAAGCTAGCTCTGAGCCCAGAGACCAGGATGGATGCTCTTACACAGCGCCCATCTGGCGTACGCCCTCCCAGGTTCCAGCATTTAGCAGTTTAATGACATCCTCCTGATATTTTTTTCTTATATCGAATCACCCACTTTTTAATCCCCTCCCCTCAAATTACTTTCCTTCTTCCTTACTCATTGGCTAGTCTAGCCTTTATCCCTTGCCTCGGAAAAGTGCTGATCTTGTGTTTGTCGGACAACTTCTGTTAGCCTCCTTGGCATGTATTTGCCTTTCGGAAGAAGATAAATAGAGGAAGGCAGGCGATTCCTGACAGTGTGAAGGCAAGTAACAGGCTCTTGCCAAGTTATCTGGGCGCTACTAAAATAATCCGGTGAGAAAAGGTCACCTTTAATTCAACCTTTATACATAGGCAATCATATTACCATATGTCAAAGACCTGCATTAAAGAGTCAATGCAGATGAGTACAAATATTTAAATGTCCTATCTAATCTCCCAAGCCCTCCTTATAAACTATTTTAAGATAATACTGAATGGCAATGTTAAACATTCCAAGAATTTGAAAATAATCTGAATTTTTTTGCTTTCCTTTTTAGTGTTTCTGACCAGTTTAGGACCCAATGAACAACTACCAAAACTGTCAAGAATCTAAAATTACTTTAAATAAGTAAAACTATGGAAATTTTCACAGAAATATATAAAATAATTTTTCGACCATTTCTAGTCTCAGGTCATTACTAAAGAATATTCTAGATCCCAGATAGAAAACAAGAACCATTAATAACACTCTGCAGGAAACAAGACATTTATGAGCTCTGGCTTTCTACTACAACTGATATTGGGCTGAACATGATTCTTGTTTTAGGACACATGAGTTTCTCTGCAACATGAAGAAGATTCAGAGAAGATTGAGCAACAAAGTCCAGACCTGGCTCAAAAAAGCACCAAACCAATTTTTGCAGCCCTGGGGCTCTCTGAATGGCTTAGCATGTGAAGAAAAAGCTCCACACATATTGCCACCTGAATTTTCTCCATCTAAACCATTGCGGGCGAGAGTGTTTTAAAAAGGGCACCCAGAAGAGGACCACCCCTTGCCTGTTCTCCAGGATCGTAACCATCTTGTAGAGCAGCCAGTTCTTAATAAATGAATAAGGCTATATGAACCAAAGACTGTTTGTCAGCTAAACGGGGGCAGAAAGTCTGTTGAGAACGTGTGCACCATCACTCGAAGTGTGTCAGTCTTTGTGACACGTGGGCATGACTGGAGGCCTTTGGGAGATGGGAGGAAAATAAGGAAAGAAATAGAAGTGACTGGCACGATGGCGTGCTGCCTATCTTGTAGGAGAAATCAGTCTGTCTGTTAAGGAGGGGAGGAAGGGAAAGAAGACATACAGATGGTCTGACTCCCAGTGGTGACAGGAGCAGTTGGTCTCCTCTCTTTCTGATAGTGACAGTCGCTGTCACCTTATTTTGAAGTCTCCTAAAGAAGAAGTGGGAGTCAGTATGGTACTGAAAAGAGCAAATGGATAAATCACGTAACTAATCGTAACCATTTGGTCCAGGAAGAGTGATGGAGGTTGGTGGCGTCTGGAGACAGCCTCCAATAGCTGAATGTGCACTTTCCCACTCCGAGAACTTCAGCTTAAGGACGAAAGAAAGTTTGTGCTATTTATTACAGAAAAAGCTCTTTCAGAGTCAAACGAGCTACTGAGTGCATGTTTACAATGCTGCTTTCCTAGCAGTGTATGACAGCTTGGGACCCATAGGCTGCCGTCTCCTTCAGTCCCATTTCACTGCAGCATCTTTCTAAATAGGCCAAAAGGACACCTAACACACACACAGAGTTATCAAAATAGGAAGGTGCCAAAAAAAACGCCCCCCTCGAGTAAGATTATTTTCTCTATTAACTCTGTACTGCACCCAAAAGGCACCATTATACCTAAGAAGCAGCCAGTGCTCCAACATGGCATGTGTAGAGAGAGAGATGGATGGTTCTCAGTTTGGGGAGGAATAGAGCATTTGCTCTTGGGAAACTTTCCTTTCTCTACCCAGTGCTACCACTGACTCTTTTCTTCTCACGGTGATGGAAAAACCACTTAATTTTGCCAAGATAAAATTTTCAGAAGCACACAAAATGTTTTAGGACCCTGTGAGACTTTCTTTTCAAAGTAAATCCTATTCAATTATTTTCCCTTAAAACAAACAAACAAACAAAAATCCCCCAAACCCCAAAAAACCCCACCAGATTTTTAAAGAATTTTTTTCACCCAGCCCAGTAATTTCAAAGAAAGTCAGTTATCTAACAGCTCTCTACATAAAACAAGTGAAATAACAACATGAATTTAAAGTAGATCAAATATACTGAATGAACCCCTAGCACAGATACTGCCATTAATTTATTTCAATTTAATTTAGTTTAATTCTCTTTGGAACAGAAGCATACTCAATCAGATTAAGGCCATTTTAATTCACATTTGTCCCCTCTAATATGACAACCTACACTTATTTGGATTAAATTCCCCTCCCGTGTTTAGAAAAGTCCTGAGTAACCACGAACTTGGACCTAAATCTTCCATCTCTTTTGCATTACTGAAAACGGGACCTGGTTTTGTAAGTTATTTAGATTCTATTGGATATTTTAACCATGATCTTGATTTTTTTTTTTATTTGCTGAAAATGTCAGCAAAGATGGGCTGTGCCAGAAAGCCTTTGTCACCTGAACCTCACCTACAAAGCCACCCACCAGCTGACCGCTTCATTTGGTTGCTCTGCCCAGAGAAACGGAGGGTACGTGTGCTCTGCACCACCGCACCCTGCCCTCCTGGGCTCCTTCCTCCACCGCAGATGCTGGAGCTGCCCCGGCAGCTGAGCAAAGACCCTGTTTTCTCTTTTTTTAGACGAAGTATACCAAGATTGAGGAAAGAGAACAAACTTTCGTAACGAACTGAATCAGACCACCACTGCACTTCTTGTCTGACATATGATCCCCAGAGTGCAAAATGGGAACAATTAGAGTGTTTCCAGAGAGAAACTGAAAGATAGTGATAGACCCAAGGGACGGCAGCCAGGATATCATTCATCTTCCACGGTGATCTAGCTGGGCCATAACTATCCCTGGTATCAGAGCAGTGAGAGTTAATGAGAGGTCCTCTTCCATCTCGGTGCATCCGCAGTAAATCTGCAGTGCTCCTGCACAACTCCAGCTGTCTGAAGATTGCTTCATCCCCAGCAATTTCCAGGAAAGGAGAGTTTGCAACACAAGACCTAAGGATAGATGTTCTTCTGGAGGTTTTTTCACCTTTTCCCTCTCTCTCTTTTTCTAAGGAAGGATAATTAGAGCACTGATGGCAAACCCTGACAGCTCTCTTGGTCAGAAGATATCAGGAGATTCAGTCAATAATTTATTTGGCCATATGATTAGTCTCTCTTCACAGACTAGTCATCCAAACTAACCTGTAGTGCCACACTACTTTTTTTTTTTTATTATTTTTCAAATATAAAATAAATAAAATGCCCAGCATTAGCTTGAGGGCAAAGTTGGTTCTCAGGAGCTGTGCTGTTTATTCTCTCCTGGTACATAGCTGTCAGCAAGTGGCATCTCTGCGAGTTACATGCATGCACAGGTAGACCCTATGTGGGTCAGGGAGGGTTTGCATTTCTGCAAGACAGATAATGCTGGAGAGCGTTATCCTTTTGCCTGCTGCTACTCCCTGTGATTCAGCATGGACTCCAATACCTCCCTGCACAACCAGGAAAAGATTTCTCTATTTCTTGTCAAAGACTGAGCCCAGGGTAAGCAGAGCATGTTACAGAAGAGAAGCTATGCTCTCATGACCCATGATTGCCTTTAGCTTGGACATATCACATGTAAATGCGGCAGGTCCCTTCTCTTCCATGGCATCCCCTTGGTGATGCCTTCCAAGGTGAACCCCCAAGCTCTTATGCAAAAGCAGAAATGATGCCCAGCAGTATGCACAACTCCAACAAGGCGCCACTGAGTTACCGTTAAACCACATTCCAAAGTTTACCTTAGTTCCTTGAAGGGGTCTGCCCTGACATTGGGAGTTTCTATAGATTTAGGGAACACTGTGCCTTCTGCTCCTGAAATCACAAAACAAAACAGAAGACAAATCGTAAACATTATAAGCTGTTATCAGGGGAGTGATTGTCAAATCATACCTAGATGCAATTTAACCCGTTGCCTGACCCCATTTCTCTCTTGCACATATCCCTTCTGTCCCCAGAAAAAGCCAGACCTTGTTCTTCTGAAATTGGTTGCTTTGATTACAACTGGGATTTGTCTGTAAACTGCACTTCTGGCTGTAAAAGCAACCGCTTGCACCCTGACTGTGGGAAATGTTTGCCGACCCAACTGATGCAGGGAGCTCGGAGAAGATAGCCCCTTGGTAACCAGACATCTAATCGAGCTACATCCCTCACTAATGAACCTGGATGCATGTCATGAAATTATTTATTTTGCTAGGCTCTGAGAGATACTCAAAGGAGAAACCCAAATTTTGGGTCAATCACTGCAAACATCTCTCTGGTCAGCCTGTGCTCCTGCCTGGGGAAAAGGAGGGAGGTGTCCACCCAGTGAAATGCAGCACAAGCAGGTAGCAGGCTCTGCTCTAGTCCCAGCCCAGCCACTGGTTTGGTGTGTGACCCAGAAGTCATTTAACTTCTGCTCATTTCCCCCTTCTCTTAGAGACAGTGGGGAAAGCAATACTATCCTCATTTGCTGAGTGGTTTTAGATCATGAGCTGTAAACTGCTAGGCAATATGAACAGCTTTGCTAAGTTTCAGGCTGCTGCAATCCTCTTACGTGACCACCTGCATAGCCCAGGTTGGGCCATTTCACCCAGCCATCCCTGCATCGGGTCCGTATTTGTGACCAAGCCATGCTGTGTCTCTCTAGAAAGATGTGCTCTTGCAGTTTCATTGTTTTAAGCCAAAGGCAGCCCATGCCATCCTCTGGTAAGCCTTTCTGCTAATTGTTTTAATTTAAAAATGTGCATCTAATCTGAACTGGTCTCACACCAGCTTTCAGCCACTAAATCTCGTGTCCTCGTGTGCCAGCCAATCGGCCGTGCATGAGCAGACCCTCTACCTTCTGTAGGTAGTTACTGACGGTGACCCAACCACCACAAACTTCTCTTTTATTCTCTGAAAAATTATGGCTTTCTGAATCATTCACTGGGAAGCAGATTTTCTGGACTTTTCATTCCTCTTTTCTGAACCCTTTCTGCTTTTAAAATACTCTGTTGGGGCACAGGAGTCCCCAAGTGCTGTCACTGATGCTCTGTGCTGCAGAACGTCACTTTCTCGCTCCTGTTGAAACTTCCAATTAAAACACAGCTAAGAATGGTGTTAACTGCCTTACTCACAGCAGTGCACTAGAAATTCATGTTCGTGTTCTTTAATATACAGCTACCTACTCTGTGAGCAAGTATGACCTATATTCCTAAATTTAGACCTATGGTCTTGTGTTCAGACACACAGTGGACAATTAGTCATTCATTATCTGTATTCATCACAGCAATTTCAGTGTCAGCATGCAAATGAGACCAGCAGCATTTTTTTATTTCCTTAATTTTTTCTTTGATAAAGCTGTTGGTGCAAACTACACATCCTGATCAGACCTTTTACATATACTGTTTGAGCTGTCTCTTAACATGTGCTGTTATGATTGTTACCCATGGGCAGTCTGGAAGTCATCACTATAGAATAAAAAAAAGTTCTGAGATGATGCAAAACATGTTAACACAACATCCTTCTGTAACTTCTGTTACAAGTGAGAAACACCTGTGGCTTCAATAAGACTACACTTTCTTTGCACTGAAATAAATTAACTAAGCTGCCCCACTGTGTTAAAGAAAAAAAAATCAGAATGAAAATAAGCACTCTAAGATTTATAAAAGAAAAAACCAACTTTTTAACCCAGAGAAAACCAAAGTAATCTCAAAGATGACAAAAGTCTAAAGTTTGAAGCTTTATACTTGGGAATTGAAGTTGATCCTCTGGCCCAGTACAGATATTTAGCTCTTAACTTTACTATAAGCCTTCATCATTACAAGTTATCAAAAGCAGCTGTAACTTTCCAGCCATGAAGGTTATTATTATCTGATCTGTCCTCTCTCAATGGTTTCCAAATGATTTAAGTCTCTGCTTATCCACACAATTGCCTTGGTTATTAGCTTTGCAATGAAACTTAGCAAAAGATGCAGCCTGCACATATCTGCATAATAAAACAATCATTTTTGCGGGGAGGAAGATGAGGAGGTGCAGCTGGAGAGGTGCACATAGATATTCCTGTACCCAATCCACCTGTATTGCGTAAACGGTGACTTTATGCTGGTAATTTTAATTCATTTTTACACACTTTAAGTCAGCTACTTAAGTTATGCAAAGCCCCAAATCACGGTCTGCAAGTAATCAGAAATGCCTGCAGAATAAGGAGAAAGTGTAGCATATTTCTAACGACCTGGGGTTTTCCAGGCTTTCATTATTTAATTCAAATGCAGAAAGCAACTTTGGAAACAAAGCCAGCAGAGACTCCAATGCAGTCAGTTGAGGAAGGCTGAAAATAAAAAAGCCTGCTATTCCTTTCATCCATCTCCTTGTTTTCCTTTCCCTATACACAGTTTTAAAACCTCTTCCTGTCTTATTTATTCTCAGATCCATGGAAGAGTCCCTTATACACTGGGAATAGGAATGAGATTTCCAGATCCTTCTGTTTCTCTCCTTTGATACGAATTAGAAGTGAAGACTACTTGCCTTGATAAGGCTTCCTGCCTTGACAATATAATTTCTTATTATTCTGTTTTAAGAACACAAGATCTCCCAAAGGGCCACCTGTCCCTGTCACTGAGTAGGACATCAGCCACGAGGGGATGCTGAGGGACCAGGACTGAGATGTCGCTCCCTTGACTCTGGCTGTCAGCAGCTGAGGGACTCCTTGAGCTGGCCGTGTCATCCAGCCTCTGGAGAGACACTGATAAGCTTTCCTCACCTCACCTAATTATAATTTTAAGTGTCTCCATTTCTTTAGCAGGGGGCTCACAGATGAATTAAATACTGTGGAGAACTTCTTCCTTTGTTTTCAACCTGCTGCCTGAGGATTTCACTGGATGCTTGTTCTGCCTTGGACTGTGAAAAACAGTAAATAACCATCCTCTTCTCTTTGTGCTACTGGAAATGTCCCCACTCTCACCAGCCCTCTCTCTTCCTCGCTCAAGAGTCTCGGTCTCTGACTGCGGGATCAGCAGCTCCTTGGACACATTCAACTACACTGGATATTTGTGTCAAAGTCTGGCTCTTGGCCTCTATCAAAGTTCTCAGCCAGGCTGCGCTAGCATCAATGTTGGACTGCATTGAAAGTGAAGCCATTAGGCTGGAGGAAGTGACCTCATTTAGTGGTTTTACTAAAGGCTTTGGCAAAAAAGAGAAGGAAAGTTTGAGGGAAATGTGCTGTTGACACTGAATTGGGCTATTCTGGCTCTGCAGAGGACTGGAATGTCATGGAGAAAGACCTTAGGGAATGGAAGAAGAGAGAGGGGGTGAAATGTAAAAATATGAAGTCCAAGGTCATGTGCTTAGAAAGTAGTAAGAATTTCTGCTCCATGATGGATGCTCCCTGGATGGGAATGCCCCTGGATAAAGGCTGAGCACTACTCATGATTCATGGCAGAGGGACAGGGCCAAAGGGAAGACAAACATGACATTAAACTGAAAGGCAAGAGGCGAGTCTAACAGGAACATTAAAAAAATCACATTATTTTATGAATCATCAGTGAATCCTTGAACTATTATGTAGCCCCCAGCTCAACCCCAGTGAGGAAAGTGTACAGAGAAGAAATATTGTCATGACTGCAGGAACAGAAAAAGCCTCTCCTACAAAAGAAGACTGGAAGGACGTGGCTTTTTAGCCTAGTGATGGACAAAGAAGTGATGTGAATGCTGTGTATAAGTACATTAGGAAGATAAATAACACAAAGGAAAAAGAACTACTGGCTGTAGGCCAATGTTGGTATGAAAGCAAGTGGCAAGAAAATCGTCCCAAATATATCTGGGAAGAAAAGGGTGTTTTCTAGCCAAAGGAGGAGCAAAAGTGGGAGCAGCTTTTCAGTTAAGGTAGATGAGACAGACAACCTAACATCTGACAAATTCATGACTATAAGATGTGGGGGTCTCAAAAACCAGGGACAAGATATGCAAGATCAGAAGGTGTCTTCTAGTCTTGCACTCCTCTAGTCTCATTTTCACTCTCCTCTATATGAGGAATGATGGCTTTTGGCAAATGCGTATCTCCAACATTTCAAGACTTAGCTGCTACAATCTCCCTTCTCAATCAAAGCTACTATACCACTCTTCTCCCTTTACTGAGTACAAAGCAAAAGTAAATTAAATTTATTATTGTACAACATAGCTTCTGCTTCCTGAATTATCTGTTATTAAAACATTTGGTATCTACCATGAAAAATGCATAATATAAAATTTCTATTTAATTGCAAAGTACTGAAAATATTTTTTTTTTTAATCTTCTGACAGTCTCTGCTGCTGCTAGGGATAACTTACCTGCCTTACTTAACAGCCAAAGACAGTTAAGAGAAAACAATCATATAATTTGTATTTAAACCTACTATACTGTACATCCCTAGGCAATAAATTATTTTTTCTTACAGTATTATATCAGAGCGACTTCTATCAAAAGCCATACCTACCGATTCCCTCTTCTGACACTGTGTAATTTACCGCCGATAAATGTTCATAAACAGTTTGACTGAAAAATCCATAAAGCCATTTCAGCTTTATTTTAAGTTCCATTTAATGTCCCTCAAAAATGATTTCATCAATGTGTTTCCATTAGCTGGTTCTCTGCCCAATAACTTAATTCCACACAATCAGTCAGGAACTTATAAAGCATATGACAGGATCTACCTAAAGTGTTTTGAATCACCATAAAGATTTACTCAGAGTGGGGGTTTTTTTTGCCCTTCTAGTGCATGAGATGTGGTGACACAAATGTCCAAGACCCCTGTATGTGTTCACTTTACGCAAAAAACAAAAATCAAGAGTCCTAAGGCAAGGGAACATTTACAGTT